ACGGTTGTCGCGCAATAAGGAAACTACTGGGGCCAACTCCACGAACGGTTCGCACCGTCTGCCAGTTCGTTTCTTGACCAGGCAGCACCTTACCTTTGACAAACTATCGACAGCAATTGAAGATCTTGTCCTCAAGGATAGCCGAGCTTTCAATTACAAGAATCACTTGCCTGATGACCAAATTCCGCAGAGGCGAGGTGCAGCAGTACTTATTGCGGGATCCGCAACTTCCTCAACGGGAACAAGCCAAGGCAGCCGCGCCGGGTGCCGATGCCGGTCAGGAAGCGGGGCCCGGTCGCGGGTTCGGAGTGGGGCTCTTCCATCAAAGCCCCTCCCACCCTTTTCTCCTCCGCCCCTGTTCAGCCACACTCAATTGCAACAACGCAAAGAGAACTTTCGTTCTCATTCGGCATCAAAGGCGAGCTATGTCAGCATCACCCAAAAGCAGAAATGGCGAGTTCGCGGATTGCATGTATCGCGGCAATATTCTCTTGTTTTGTTTCAGCATGATTTCTTTGCAACGGAGTGAACAAACTTCCTTACATTTTCAATTACCTCCATATCCGATAAAGACCCCTGCACTATCTCTCACGCCGACTGGACGACTCGGACTCACGCTCGAAAGAAAGCTTCTGCCTGAATGTGCCCTTGTCGCCAAGAGGGTCAACCTCGACTTTTGGGCATCCTTCTATGCCCTGGTTCTACAGGCAAGGGGGGACAGCAGAAGGGGACGGGAGGGGCTTTCAAGGTTGCCGCAGACGCATGCACTCAACTGCTTCTGTGGATCAACGCTTTCGAGAAACTGACGATGTCGCAGCGGCCGACCTGGATGAGAAAGGCAAGGGCCCGTCTTGGTGTCTTGGAGCCGCATGATGTGATGGCCCCCCCAAAGGTCTTCAGCCTCAGCCCTCGGTGGTGGGTATTCATGATCACCGCCGCATCCAACCAAGGGGCCGCTGGTGCATACAACGCGACTCAGATCATCATCAGGCATGCCTAGGGGGGAGGGGGGGGGGCTTTTGGGGGCACATCGGATTCCTCGGACTCGGTTCTGTTATTGACACCCAGATGCTTAGCAGACAAGATTTCAGGAGCAGAATGAAGTCCAGCCAATGTACAATTTTTCAAGCAGAGTAAATCAATACCCACGATGAACCAACATCTGCTCCGACACTAACGTAACCTTCGCCCCCGTCTCCCGTCTAGATACGGCCGCACCATCTCGGCGGAGGAGAGGCAATAGCTGGCAATTCTTGTGAAGGAAAGAATTGGAGATATCTTCAAGCGGAGGAAGGAATTCGTTTCAGCATCACTAAAACTCCTTAGCGCACTCGAGGCATCATACCTACTGACATACCTTACCGTAGTGACGCTCCCCAGACTCTGTTCTCCGTCATTGACGTTGAGCAGGGCCGTCACCCCCTGATCCCTGTTGACTAACCCCAATGGGCCATGCACATGGATCTATTTCGGGAGATCCCCTCGTCGGCGGGTCCCGTTTTTCCGTCGCCCACAAGGGTGCCCCGTCTGCTTCACCTGCTGGGCAGCAGCGCCCTCACAGTGTCTCCTGCCCTCTGCCATCATCTGTGTCCCTCGTTTCCTGCCCCCAAATGTTTTACACACGAGGCAGTCACGTAGTCAAGTCGGTCCACCATTGCCTTCGCCATGATTCCTCACCTCTCCCACCTCGTCGTCACACTCCCCGGCTGCTCACCCTCCCATCCCATCCACCGAATCTCTCAGTATTTGCCGTTTCGGTCTCCTCACCCCGGACCTTTGCTGCACAGCAGGCCACCTGCGTCTTTACCCTACGCCTGCGGGGTGGCCAAGGCCGCACCAAAGACGGCCTGATCGAAAAGCCCGTCCTAGGCGACCTACCTTAGTCAGGGTCGCCATGCTGTTGGCTTCTGCAACCCCCAGAGCACTGAAACGGCCCCCGTTGTCGACGTCGTGCATCGGCTAGGTCATCGGGCCATCGCAGCTCTGTAGGCAATAGCAACGAGACACGTACTATTGCACACGACCTGGGCCGAACAGCAATCGTCTTTCTCAATGTCGTGGTATCCCAAGCATTCGACGGCTAATGCCGCGGGGCAAACACCAATCTTCAAAGCCGTTGTACGTTCCACGACAGCGCCGCCACAACGCGGGACAGCCACTTCGAGATCAGACGAACGAAAATACGGCCTGAGGCAAAGAATGGCTTGGGATGAACCAAAGTCCATCCGCAATGAACGCTGGCCATTCAAGCTCCTCCTTTCAGCGGCGAAACGGGCTGCGAGAACCCTACTTTCAATGTCCGTGGCTGACCTCTACTACTTTCCTTACCTAAGGTAGGTAGGTGTACCTAGGCCACCCAATCCTCCTAGACACGCAGAAATAACCCAGTCGGATTCCAACAACCTGACAACCTTCAAGAAACAAACTTCTCACCAACGTAGATCTATATCCTTTACGAGGGTTACAGCAACTCGACCGTCGCAACCGCAACCCAACAACACCAATGCCCCCATCCTTCACGGTACGCCAGCCGTGCCAGCTCAACAACGCGCCCGTCGTCTAGTGTCTCCAGCTACTCGGTGGTCCGGCTCTCCCCTCACACCAAGTTCCGAAAATCTCACCACAGTGCAGTCGTCCTATCCTCAAGGCACCAAGGTTCTCACCTCATCCCGGGTCGACTTTTACCCGATACTCCATGCCTCTCACGCACACATACTCGCAAGGGAGCTGAGTCTTCTTGTCACTCACTGACCAAATCGAGAGGATACGCGCTCACTCATCCCGCGCCGCCCATCCACGGCTTACGAGAGAAGTGCGCAGCCAGTCCCGACACCTCCGCATCACCTCATACCGCTGCTCTCAGGTCCCCGCTCCTTCGTCCCTTTGGATTCGACGCGGCCGGAGACTATCCCAACGATCTTCGGTCCAATGCGGAAAGCAATTCGAAGTAGAGTAGACTAACATAAGCTCTCGGGGACGAATCAACAAGAGCGGCTCGCATAGTCTCATTAGGACTTTCGTACCCGGCGACAATTTTAAGGCAGCATCTCGAAGGATACATCCGTTCTGAGATTGACCACACCTACAGTTCGGGGCCTTTCGACAGTCATACCGGTTAGATGGTGGACCACCAAAACCAATTCCTCCTTCTCCACAATCTTCGCCTATTGAGGCCGCATTGAGACCCAAGCAGGGTCTTTGCAACTCCTTGACAGCGTAGATCTTTCCCACTCAGTCTAATCAGGATGACACCCAAAGTGGCCCCCTCTCGCCATCACGAAAAACCCCCGACGTTTCTCGCTGCCTTGGACCATCTCCACCTAGCCCTTGGTAAAGAAAGGTGGTTGACTGTAAGGGTAAAATTTTCGTAGCACCGGACATTGAATGTTTCCAACAAGATTCCAAACATGCGAAGTAGTAACAGTGCGGTCTGGGGGTATAGAACAGCGTTACATGGCCCCGTCAAACCCAAGAACAAGGCTTAGGCCTGCTCCACAGCCTCTGCTACCAGCGTCCTGGATCGCATGAAGTTTGCTACTGCTGCTGCTGCTGCCGCTGTTGCCCACAGTCATTCTCGTCTTGCCAAGGCATCTATACTGCAACACGGACTTGAGTGCTGACCCGATCAACCGGATTATCGCTATAGCCCCAATTGCAAACCACTTCAACGACACTCTCTGTTGACGCGAAACAGAGATGAAGATAGAGACGAGCCGCCCCAGAGTAAGCAAACTCGATCCTCCGTCGCAAGCGCCCAGAAATGGAGACACATCGCCTTGAAGGCCCCCGAATGTGACCCTGAGGCGTGTTGGTTTTCCTCAGTCCGCTGGCTGGCAAATCCTTCAAGTAATTAGAGAACCACAACAACAAAGACTGCTTCTTGGCGCTTGATTTGCAGATGTGAACCAAACTAGCCAAAACAAAGGGGCCAAGGCCCTGCTTCTCAAGTAGGGATTAGGGATTACCCTCGCAGGTCTTTGGAAAAACAGCCCAGCTATTTTCAGCCATTGACAGTGGCTTTCGAGTCCGGTCAATCGCAGTCCACGCTGTAGAGCTGAGCGGATTTGGTGTGGCTGGGGAGATGCGGCTAGTGCCGAGCTGCAGCTTGGCCACCAGGGTGGCCCATGATGGACGACGAGCTGGGTTTGCTGTCCATTCATCGGACCCCTGCCTACAGCATACCCCTCAATTGGATGGCAAGTCTGAGGAATTAAAGCAAGTGATGCTTATAGTTCAATCTACTTGACGCTGTCTTCTATGATAGCCCAGATGGAGCTCTTCTCTGTAATCGCTCAATCCTTCATCTTCAACCTACCCTTGCTTTGACTGCCAATCCACATCTAAGTTGCGATTGTAGCAATGCCTTCCATACTGCCGCAAACACCGTACTGATATAGCCAGTGGCCAGCGTCAAATCTGCTGATTGTCCAGCCCGGCGGTGGGTTTCCCTCCCGGCCAACTCGTACTGCCTCAACTCCGCATGGCTTGGTGTATGTAAGGAGGGTCGGCCTGACAATTAGACTGGAACTGTAGAGTTCCTTGTTGCAACTATCGCTGATAGTGTACTCCATTTCCATCTTGTCGTCATATGGCGTTCTCGGAGGAAAGTTCAACTTGGGCTGATCCCAATTTCGAGATGAAATGCTGCTCAGACTGCTGCCCAGACTGCAGCTTGAGCCGCAATCGTTGGACGAATCGTAGCTGCTAGTATCGCTACCTTCACTGCCGTAAGGCAGCTCCCGGAAAAACATCTCATTGTCAAGAACTTCCTCACTGATCATCCCCATGAACCATAAGTAAAGAGGTCTTACCTCCATTGCCAGCTGGTCAGAAGCGTCATCGACCTGCTCGTCAATGGAAAGAGAACCGACGCTGATGAGGCGCGGTTTGCGCTTCGGCGGAGATGCGGCGAAGCGAATGCGCAAGGCGTCAAATATGTGACACATGCCTGCTTCGCTGATGTAGACGTCGCACTTATCACCCTCCCCTACTGAGATCTCCTAGGTCTTGAAGCCTCCGATGCCGTAGACAATTGTGTGGACGGGCTCTCCTCGGAGCTCGTCTGGGAAAAGGACTTCAGCTGCACTTTCTGGTGTCAAGTCTGCCGTAACAATTGTTATGCGGTCAAGGTATTCCGATTTGAAGTCATCCGCGTCGTTAAACATCTCCAGGAGACTTTCCTCGCACATGACGTCTGAAACAATCAACTCTGAGCATTTACAAGAGAAAAGCGTAGGGGATAAAAGCCTTGAAAAATGGAGTACGGGTATGCTACAGTGCGTATAGATTCGGGAAGCATAGCCTTCACTTACACACATGGCAGAATATTGAGGTATTCCGAAGAGCATGCATCAGGCACCTGAACACGGTGTACCCTGTTGCTCCAAAGAAAGCGACATGACGCATGGTTCGGTCGACTTGAAATGGGAAATATGACTGGATGCTCAGGTGCAGACTGGGGCCAAATTTGATGGGGTGGTGTGGGATGAAGCTGTATACGACCTGGTTGTCGACCAGTCGGCCAAAGACCTTGGATTGGCGGCTTGCCATTTTCGCGGACGTGAAACACTGCAGCAAAGATCCTACCGCAGAGAAGCCCCGATGCGAGGGTTTGATTCGACGTTGAAAGGGACCGGTAAACAGTGGCGAAGCTGTATAGACCCTGGTTAATGCTTGACGCAAATAGGTGCGGCGGAGAGGAGTTCGAGGCACGGTAGCTACGCGAGAACCGCGAGTGTGAAGGAAATAGCCCGCGAGGAGACTTATGGAGCTGATACAAGAGGTTAGGGGCGAGTGGCGAGCCATGGCAAAGCGGATTGTGTGTAAACAATACCCGAAATGGCTGGGAAGATGGCGATTGACTGCTGCTGGATAGTGATGTGTTGTTGATACGAAGGAAGAGGCACAGCGGCGAAATCTCCAAGAGGCGCATATTAGGTTCGCTCCCAAGCTGCTGATTGAGTCTTCCAGCGGACGGAAGGATGAAGCCATCGATATCGGTCCGTTGGAAGGAAGGGCCCCAGGAGGATACTCGACCTACTGCTCTAGCAGAGCGTGATTGCAATGTACTTACCTCGGAAAGCATTACCAACGAAGAGGAGATTTGAAGTTGCGGAAGGATGACTGAGCAGGCGGAACCCCGGATAGAATCTGAGCAGTGATCCAAAAACGGGAAGCACCATTCCTTACCAAAGCTGTACACCATAAGGTGGTGCCATGCCAGTCAGGAAGCGTCCAGGGTCTCCGTAGTTGTCGAGAGGTGTGGCAGGACCAGTCCGGTCTGGCCTCGAAATGGAAAGATCGTCGAAGGCGAAGGAAGCATCACACAGAGCAGGGGAGATACCTGCCCTGTCTCAGGATGGACGCCCTGAATCAAGGTATCTGCACGCCGATGTAAGCGCGGAAGGCTTCTTCTGCGGCCATGACCTCGGCGGCGCGGTGGCTTGGGAAAGACAGTCGATGTTGGCTGCCTTACGGGTCCATAGAACGGGTACATGATGTAGGTAGCAAGGTAGCAATTGCGGCCGATGCGGTGGCATGCGGGACGAGTGCGAGAGACACAAAAGCCTTAGACGCAGTGTATGCAGTAATTCGATACACAGCACAGGGCTGAGATGACACGCTGCTATGTCGCCTCGGCTTGGCCTGCAGGTGGAATTCCCTCGCGGTGGACTGCGTTTAGCAGCGGAAGCGGTGCAATTTCCCACATTGTCACGTTGTGTTTCAGGTGTTGTCGGTATCAACTGATGACCAAGTTGTGGGATTCTAAGCAGGGAGTAGTAGTTAACATTGGTTGGCAGGGAACAGATAACGGAGTTTGAGTATGCAAAGACCGAATAGAGATGATGGCCGGAGGTGTGGGGAGACGAAAAGAGGATGAGGATGTTGATCATGTCAGGACGCCATGTGGATTCGGTCCCGAAGAAGGCAAAACGAAACAAAACGTGTAAAAGGCGAATACTCAAAGGTTAGGAGAGTCAAGAGAGTGTGCGAAGAGAATAGTAAAGTGGAGAAGATACGTGCCAACGGGGCCAACGGGAGTCGGGACTTCCATTGTGACTTGGAACTTGAGGTTATTCTGTTGCCTGCTGGGAGCAGCGGGACGATGCAGCGCGCGATGAGACGTTGATGCTGTGAAGATGCACCAACAGGCCCGGCTGTGTTCGCTGCCCGCCTCTCCGCCCCAGAAACCCCCTCAAGGTGCGGCGTGCGGGACACTGTACTGTCTACTGTGTTCGGGACGTATTCTGCCTGGGGGGTGAGAATCGGAGAAACACACCTGGGTGTCGACTTACTTAGGGCGGGACCTCGGAACGTGCGAGGGTCGCTTATCGAGCCAATGGAACACAAAGGCCTTCCCCGCTTATCCTAGACCCACTTATAGCCTGTTCATCCCAGGCCCCATCGTGGCTGCGGCAACATAGCGCCCCAGAGTCCGTGACTAAGCCGAAAAGTCGCCTGGGAACCAACCAGCTTTGCAAGCGACTCCTCGTTCCACCTCTGCTTCTCAAATCATCCTCTCACGTCCAGCTTCTCGTATGTACGCACGTAGAATGCGAATGCACGCAGTACCTATTCACAGCTCAGTCATCATGTCAGACTCGTGGCTATCATCAACCGCTGCATGTTTTCGGCCAAGGCGAGACGGCTGAATCATTAGGCATTCAATACCCAAATGTCTCAATTCGGGTCGGCCAAACCGTGAGCTTGAGGGATTCGTTAGCACCCGATCGCGAATCAGATGGGACACCATAACCACGAGCCCATACGAGGCAAAAGCGAGATGGGACGAAGCTCAATGCAACTTTGACAACCGCAGCACCTGTAGTGTAAAGAAGAGATCTGCTAAAGCAAGACACGACGGAAAGCCAAGTTTGTTAGTTCTATACGCCATGGATTGTCTCCGCCTCAGTCAGCATTGCTTGAGCACCCAAGCTGTTCGACCGACTCTCGCCGATCCTGTACATGCGTCAATCAATCTCCTCAATTGGCGAATCCAAAGGTTCTTTGGCATAACTTGCCGTTTGACTTGTGCAAATCATGCAGATACTTTCAGCGACTTCGCCCTTGTACCTCGTATGTACCGTAGGATGAACCCCCTGGAAAGCCTCCATCTGACAAGGGAAGGATGGGCGGCATGACATCCACACAGACGCCGCCCCGTTCCAACTCTCCACCTCTCCGAACCTCGATCATAGCCATCCCCCGTTGGGAACGTCGTCTTTCTTCAATCACTCGTTGCAGAAGCTATCTTGTGTCCTTCAAAGCGCGGCTGTGAGGCGCTCCCCGCGCGATACACGCTCGTCTATTCTTCAGCCCTATCATCTCCGTCCTGCCGCTACACATTGGCATCCGCGCTTCTGCATTCCGTCTTACCCTTGTTTTGGTTGCCTACCCTTTTGCCATGGGTTCGGCCAACAATGCCTCCGTCAACATGCACCAGACTGCGCAGCGGCTATCGATGCCTCCACTTGCATCATGAGCACCGAAATAGTAGCCTCCGGAGTCATTCGGAGGCTCACAACTGACCGGAACCTATCTCCGGACAGCTTCGGAAATCTTCAACGCGACACTCTCACTGGGGAGCCGAAAGTGCTCCATAGCGCAAAGACGGCCTTGCATGCCTCCAATGGCAGGCACCGATATCCAGAGGAGGTCCAGGATCGATAGAGGAGTATCAACATCTCCTCTTCAAACATATAAGCTTAGGTTACAGTTCGTCTCAATCTCTTTTCCTCATCACTCTCAACACATCATCTCTCATAGACTCAGTTCGACTCTTCACTTCATGATCTTCAACCAGCAAAGTATCGCAGAGTTCCAGTTTCAGGGTTCTCTCACCTCAACCATCACCTTTTGATTCAGAGCATCCTACTTGTTCGCGGAAGATTCCATTTCTTCCCTTGTCCCTGAACTTAACTCTCGATACTTGATATCATCTCTTTCCTTCCTGATAGCTGGCCAATTACCTTCGATCACGAAACTCAATCGACAATTATCCTTGTCGACCACTTCCTCAGCAGACCAAAGAATCCAGCCAAGCACATCAAGCTCATCTATATCTAGCTTTTCCAGCTTCGCAATCGATCAAAATGTCTGCCCGAGTCAACGCCACTGAGAATGACCCCACCGTCATCGTCGGCCTTGCTTGCCGAGTCCCTGGCGCTTCCAACCCCAGCAAGCTCTGGGACCACATTGCCGCTCAGCGAGATGTCCAGCGCAAGATGCCCGAGGACCGCTTCAACGTAGAAAACTACTGTGAGTATTTTCGTCCTCTCCAAATCAATTCACAGAGACTGACACCGTTTGTAGACCACCCTGATGGCACCCGCAAGGGAACCGTGAGTTGATTCTTCCAGACCGGACTTAGCAACTATAGACTAACGCAATAATTCTAGACGAACGCTCGCTTCGGCTACTTCCTTGAGCAGGATATTGCCGAATTCGACAACTCCTTCTTCGGCATTTCTGGAAAGGAAGCCGATGCCATGGACCCTCAGCAGCGTTTGCTGCTCGAGGTCGTCTACGAGGCCTTGGAGAACGCAGGTATCTCTCTTCAGGACATCAGTGGCTCTCAGACTTCCGTCTTCTGCGGTAGCTTCACCAACGACTATCTTTCCATGACTGGCAAGGACTTGACGGCGAACTACCCCATGTACCACGCCACTGGTACCGGTAACGCCATTCTGTCCAACAGAATCTCTTACTTCTACAACTTGCACGGAACCTCCATCACTCTTGATACCGCCTGCTCATCTTCTCTTGTCTGCTTCCATCTTGGGTATGTTTGCGTTCGTATGGCTCTCCATCGGGTACTATAGCTAACATGCTTTCTTCCCTAGCAACCAATCGCTGAAGAATGGTGAGGCTGACATCTCCATCGTTGTTGGCTCTGCTCTCCACTTCGACTCCAACATCTATATCACAATGACGGATCTTGGCATGCTGTCCACAGATGGTCGCTGCCGAGCTTTCGATGCTTCAGGAAGCGGCTACGTCCGTGGTGAGGGTATTTGCGCAGCCATCCTCAAGCGCCAGAGCGCCGCTGAGACTGCTGGCGACAACATCCGCGCCATCGTCAGAGCTACTGGAAGCAACCATGATGGCCGAAAGAACGGTATCACTTTGCCCAACAGCGTTGCCCAGGAGGACCTCATTCGTTCCACTTACGAGCAGGCCGGTCTCAACCCGCTGCACACACAATACTTCGAGGCACACGGTACCGGCACTGCCGCAGGTGACCCGATTGAGACCCGTGCCATCGGCGCAGTCTTCTCCCCCGGCCGAAGCAACCCCTTGTACGTCGGCTCCGTCAAGACCAACATTGGTCACCTCGAGGGTGCTTCAGGTCTCGCAGGTCTCATCAAGACTACTCTTGCGCTTGAGAACGGACAGATCC